TATCACTGAGCTACATACAACCCCTACCCTGTTTTTATTATAAAAATAATAATCTAAAAGGCTGTGATCATAGTATAGTTGATGGTTCTCATGTATATACATGTAGCCTTTCATGGAAAAGATCTAAGATCAAAAGGAATTAACAGAGGATGATTTCAGTAAAACATGTGTTCAATACCGTTTATCCAGGGTAAACGGATGGTGCTTCTTGGAAGAGTGAGTTGGGCCAGTGGTCCTCAAAGCATATCTGTTATAGAATTACCTGCTGGGTCTCATCCTCCGAGTTCCTGATTCTATAGATCTGGAGGGATACCCAAGAATTTGCTTTTCTAACAGGTTTCCAGATGCTGCTGATGCTGCTGGTCTGAGGACCAAACTAGGGGAACCATTGATGGTACTTCAAAAAAAAAAAATGGAAAACAAAACTGACCTAATATTATAATGGAATTCAGAGAATTACTGTTGTTGCCATTTACAAGCAAATGAAGACCAAGTATTCATGTCATCTGGGGCAATTTTGTTTTAAATTATTAATGGGCACTTTTCTATTTCCTATCAAGAGAGCTGGCATGATTGTTTTGCTACACAGTAAACCAGTGATAATGTAAACATACTTTACTCTGTACTCCATTCTAACCACTAGAAGTTGGTTCGATTTTTACTTTAATCAGGGATGTAGGCCAATGCCATTATTAAAAACTAAGATGTAAAAGTAAAAAAAAAAAAACAACTGTAGTCTGGTTTTTAAGACACTTCTGGACAATGGAAAATACAACATGAATTTTTCCCCCTTATTTGTTATTCTTAGTTATACATGACAGTAGAGTATATTTGACATATTATACACACATGGAATGTATCTTGTTCTAATTAGGATCCCAGTCTTGTGGATGTACGTGATATGGAGATTCACTGTAATGGATTCATATATGGACATAAGTCATGTTAGATTCATTCCACTGTCTTTCGTATTCCTATACCCTGTTCCTTCCCTTTATTCCCCTTTGTCTAATCCACTGAACTTCTATTCATCCCCTCCCCACTTTGTTGTGTGTTAACATCCACATATCAGAGAGAACATTCAATCTTTGATTTTGGGGGGATTGACTTATTTCACTTAGCATGGTAATCTCCAGATCCTTCTCTTTACTGGCAAATATCATAAAGTAAGTCCTTTTTATGTCTGAGTAATATTCCATTGTGTATATATACCACATTTTCTTTATTTATTCATCTGTTGAGGGCCACCTAGGTTTGTTTCATAGCTTAGCTATTGTTAATTGAGCTGCTATAAACATTGGTGTGGCTGTGTCACTGTAGTATGCTGATTTTAACTCCTTTGGATAGATGCCTAGTAGTGGGATAACTGGTTCAAATGGTGGTTCCATTCCTAGATTTTTGAGGCATATCCATACTACTTTCCAGAATGGTTGCACCAATTTGCAGTTCTACCAGCAATGTATGAGTGTACTTTTTCCCTCACATCCTCGCCAAATTTGTTCTTACTTGTATTCACAATAATTGTATTCTGACTGGAGTGAGATGAAATCTCAGTGTAGTTGAACATTTTTTCATATATTTGTTGGCCATCCGTATTTCTTCTTGTAGGAAGTATCTGCCCATTTATTGATTGGGTTATTTGTTTATTTGAGGGGTGTTTTTTTGTTTTGTTTTGCTATTTTGAGTTCTTTGTATATCCTGGAAATTAACAACCTATCTGAGGTGCGGGTAGCAAATATTTTCCTCCCATTCTGTAGATTATTTCCTTTGCTGTGAAGCTTTTTAGATTGATACCATCTCATTTATTGATTCTTGATTTTGCTTCTTATCAAGAACATTTTTTATCAGGGGTTTTGGTAACTGCTTAGGGATAGAAGTGCCTATCAATTCCTGTGATCTCCAGGTAGGTAGAGTGGCCAATCCACTTAACAATGGAATTAAAATCACAAAGAACTTGAGAAGTTGGAAAGGTGCTTAGACAGGCAGACAGACCAAGTTGAATGAAGGCAGAGGCTGAGCACAAATTAAGCAATGTGCTTGCAAGCTGGATGGGGACAAGAAAATCAAGTAAAATGTGCATAGGATCCTTGCATATGAGAAAATAAGTCTCACATTCAGAAAATGAACTACTATGTAGCATACATCCCTCATATCACATTTGATATAACAGATTTCTCTCACTATGCAGACAGGCAAAAATACCCATTTTACAATTTTGAGAAGATTACTCAAAATTCAAACTGGCTAACAGTCACTGACCCAGGCCTTTGTTCTTATTTTGGTCAACTCTGTGGCACTGGCACTCCTCATTCCATATAAAATAGCTTCAAAATCCCCAGAGAAGACAAAGAAATGTGACAAAATTGGAAATGTTAGAAAAACTCAGATATATTTAGTCCCCAAAAGAAGGCTAGGCAAACCTTCATGTTTCTTACAGGTGCCATCAATGTCCTATGTCCAGGATTAAGGTCCCAGTAATCCTTGGAGCTTTTCTCCTTTTGTTCCTTCAACAGCCATATTCACTGGTACCCACCAGGTGGCAGGCTCTCGGCTGAACTGTGGAATATCAAAGTGAATGGTGACCACTGCCTTGGCTCTGACCTGAACTTGGGACTCTAGGAGGTTCCTCTCTAGGGCTTCAAAGCCCCTTCCCTAGAATAGGTTATACATTAGTCAAGTGCCTCATGAGTAAGGACAGTGGCCTGTATATTTGTGAAGTCTCAATATGTAGTATGGCAGCTGCAATAATTACTTAATTTCTTGTTATACTGAATTTAAATTTCTCAGCATGTGGGAGAATGATGCCATCTTCTGGACAGGGAGGTGTAGAGCACTGACCACACTCAATGCAAGGAAAATAATAAGCGCATCTGTCCTCTTCCATGCACTTAGTAGGAGCCTGTGGTTTCCATGAGCTACCCCAGAACCATTCAAATTGCCAGAACCTGTTAAAATTGCTGTAACACTTACTAGATCAAGTGTCTTTCCTCTGTGCTTCTGTTTGGGGAGGAAGTTGTTTGGATAGGCCCGTATTATTCCAGGACTTATCTTATGGTAACAGTGGAAGCCGATTCATGCGCACTTAAACATCAAAAGTCTGGCAGGATTATACTATTAGTAGATGAATGAAACAACTGTATATCACAAAAACTAAAAATGAACCAAAGTAGAAAGGATATCTTTCAGGCAATATCTTTCTATTGTTATGTGTTTTAAGGGAATATTACTGATTTCTTTAGAGGATGGAAAATTTGTTCCAAATTACTCTTCCTCAATCCTATTTGCCAAGAACTCAGATGTAACTGGCTAAGAGTCATTGGCCTTTATTCTTATTTGATCAACTCTGTGGCACTAGCACTCCTCAATGTAAGATAGCTTCAAAATCCCCCAGGGAAGACAAAGAAAGGTGATGGAATTGGAAATGTTAGAAAAATTAGGATATTTAGTCATTTCACACACATGGCAGGCATGTGTGTGATCTCAGTACACAGGTGATGTAGATATGATAGGACAACTGGTGGCCTCATTTACACCATTTATACATGTTGTATGGGAAGGTAAGTTAAAACAAACAAACAACCCACGCAGTGTCTTCCGGTCCTCAAATATGTGGTGTTTTTTTTTTTAAAGGTGTTTGTGTTCCAGTTTTAGTCATTTATATTCTCTACTCATCCCACACTATCTTCTGTATCACATAGTCCAATAGAAATCTACCTGATTTTTACTTGTATTTTTGTGGTGCTGGGAATTGAATCCAGGGCCTCACATATCGAATCCAGCACTTTACCACTGAGCTCTTCCCTTAGCCCTGAAATATACCTATTTTCTAAAAAGAGAGAAGAAAAAAGTCTAGAATGATTAAATTCTTCCCAAGGGCAAATTAATGACTCAGATTATTTTCAAGATCTTTCTAGTCTTCATGAGTCCAGTTAGAATTGGTATAATATACATAAAAAGTATATTAAGATACTCTTATCTTGGACTCTAGCAGTTCAGCCCCTGGATTTGATCCCCAGTATCACAAAACAACGACAAATTCTATAATCTTGAAGATTGAAAAGAGAAGGCCCTGTGCCCTGACTACTTTCTGAAACCTCAGTGGGGCATGTTGCTTCTTGGTGGAGAGTGTACGATTTACTAGTCCCTACTTCTGACTTGGATATCAAAAGGCCCAAGGTACCTTGCCCCTGTACCTTATCTTCCATGCTGCACGTACCTGGAGAGGCTCTTGACTATTAGTGATGACAAATCTATTTCTTACAGAAGTATAAGAGATGACTTCCTTCCCCATCTGCCTTGGTCTATCATATAAATTTTCAGACCTTTTACAAATGATTTAAGGGAGAGAAGAAGTTTATTTCTTCTTGCCCTGATGATGAAGCATGATTTCAATACCCTGCAACCAGACACACAGATTTTTATTTCCCTGAAGCCCCTGGTACTGCACCTTGGTGCAGAGGCTTATGCTAAATAAAATAAGGTATCTGAAAGGACGTTTATTTCATAATGGAAAGAAAATCAGAAAGCCTTTATTGGGTTAATGATACTTCACCATCAGGGGTATAAAAGGTACTTCTCCATTGAAAGAAGGTGGTTTTAACAAAGTATCAAAAGTTTCCAATAAGTATCCTTGGAAAGTCTTCTTGTAGACATTCTGGTGAAGAAAAGTTATGGGGTTCATGACACTACTTTTACAGTACAAAGGTACTTAGCATTTTAACTGCTAGGTATTTTTGTATGCCAAGTTCCCAGTGGTGGGAGTGCTTCCTGTCTCCGTGTATACTTCTGGGTGTCATTAAATCCTCCCCTTGGACCTAATATCACCATTTTTTTCATTATTCACGAGAAACCTGTTGCCTCTGATAGCCACTCCCACTGCCTTTCTGCCAGTGTAGGTCTGTTTATTCCTCACTAGGAGCTCAAATTCATGATCTCACCACTGACTCCACTGTGTCTCTTTGCTTTTTTCCCCCTCTAGATGTTTCCCTGTTGCCCCCAGTTTCAGGCATGGTAAGAGGGACCATACACTGGCCTTTAAGAATCAGGTAGAAAAGGAGCCCCATGAGGTAGGCTATGCCATGGGAAGCTGCCGGGGCCCCATGATGAATTTCATTAGACTGGCCTATGATAGGTTGAGCCTCCCATCCCACAGGAGTTCAGGGCTTCCTTCCTGCTGTTTCCTTGGAGCACGCAGTTTCACGCCCTGTGTGTTTGCTCTAGAGTATTGGTATAAATTGTGTCTGCTGTTGCCCCTTCACCCTGGGCATATTTCCTCTTTTCTTTCTTTCAGGGGGTGCACAGTATGATCAGAATCACATTATCCTCAACACAGCCAGCAAAGAGAAGTTAACACAAGTGTGGGAAGCCATGGTTCTATGAGCCAGAACAACGGATACAGAGGGAACCTTTCTGGAGGTCTTTCCAGCTGCCTTATTTAAGAAACACAAAGGACAATACTGATGGAGGAGCCAAGTGGAAAGTGGATGGACTTCTTCCATCTTGAATGACACTGCCGTGGCTGGGAGAATCATCTCATCTTTTCAAAAGACTGCAATAATTTTAAACCAATACTTTGTCCTCCTTTCATTTCTTGCCTTTCATTTTCTCTCAGTAGCTACTTAAACAGGTTGCATCACTAGCAGCTTTGGGGGTGTTTAAAGATGTGATAGGAAGACTTCAAGATTATGAATGTTTAAATTTATTTCCAAAGATTGTAATGGAGAGAACAGGATCAAGTTTACTTTGTGGACTTAAAAATCCCTTCTACTTTAAAGGGAAGGATAAAAGCCTAAGTTTGTAAGGTAGAAGATTATTGAGCATCTGAGAAACATGCTTTATTAGGCCTGTACCTTTGGTCCTTGGCCTTAATGTTTTCTGGAACCATTAATTATGCTTGATAATAAAGAGCGAAAGCCTTATGTGTTCAGAGACATTATAAGTATAAACAAATATTATTTTCTTTCAGTTAATATTTAAAAATTAGTAAACTGATTAACTTCATGTCCATGTCTGCTAACATTTATTAGCAGAATTTGGATTATTCTAGGGGCTGCTCTAGATATCACAAGTGAATGTTTAATGCCTTTCCGATAGCTGCTACTGGAACAGTATTATCATGGCCTAATTTATTAACCTTACTGGTCTGCAAGTACTGAAGCCATGTTCTATAGATTTTTGCTAATCTAACTTCCAGGCACTACTGAGTGGGACAGGCTCAGGTCTGAAGGTACTGGGGGTACTGCAGCCCTAATATCACTTCCATCTAGTAACAGAGAGGTGTGCAAAGCTGCAGGGAATGATCAGCACTCATGTCCAGAAAGTAAAAGAGAAGAGACCCTGAAGGCTGCTGTTGGCCATAGGTTACAGCTCTGAGCACCTGTGAATGCCATAAGCAATTCAAAAATGCAAAGGAAATGTTTCCCTTGCTGCTCTGTTGGTTCTAGTTTTGAACTAAACTGCTAAATGTTTCCTTGAATACATCCTTCCTCTTTTATTTTTTTTTCCTGTCTTTGTTCCTGAATACCGGTGCTCTTATTACAAGTAGAACAAATCTTTCCATTTCATCAGTTCAGGTGTTTCCAATTCTGAAATGTGATCCTCCCTGAAGTATGTAGGCAACTGTGGTCATTAGAATAATTTACCTTCAGTTTTAAAATAATGTTTGCACATGTACAACAGCTCCAAGATGTCGGTCTCATTCTTAGATGTAGAGGTCTGATTGAAGGCATTTTGTGTATATCATTACAGAATGGTGGGGTAAGATATTCTATAATAACCTGTGCTGAATTTATCTCTCTGAATAAACTTGTTTCTGGTTAACTATATTGATGAAATCTTATACAGTCCATTCAGAAGCCCTCATCTAACCACTTCTAAGGGTCAGTCAGAAAATTTGAAATAAATGTCTGACACGGAGTAGGATGAGGCCAGCTCAGGGTCTTGGTGTGACAGCAGGGAAGGTTTTGCTGACCACCTTTAACTGCATAAGAGAACAAGTGAGGTCCTGGCCTATCTACTCTCTCAAGTACCTAACTCCTCACTACTGCCCTCAGGGACAAGAGCTGAGACTGCTCCAGGTGGAAATTAAGAGCAGCTAGTTTTTACAAATAGAAAAACATCTTTTTCTTTTGAAGTAATTTGTGCTAAGACAACTCTGGAGAAAAGCCCATATCCAACATGCTACCAAATAAGTGTCTAACAGGAAAATACAAAGTGAAATCTTCTCAAAACAAGTCTGCATCAAAAACTAAAAGCAAGTACCAAAGGCCTGATAATGGAGGTGAGTCCAACAGTCAATATAAAACACTCACATTAATGGAGATTCTGAAGTGCATGCTTCGATGGGTGTATTGGTGTATTGTACCTAAATGCAGTCATGTGAGGTCAGATAATGGCCAACTAGACTCCACTGGAATGGTGGCAATTTCCCCAGAAAGATCCCCAGAGAAGAAGCATGTTTCAATTGCTAAGAGACCTAGCCCTTATGAAAAATAGGGTTTAAGAAAGTTAAAAACTTTAGCCTTACCTTTGTATATTAAGAGATTAAGCAATCAAATCAGGCTAGATTTTTATAGATGACAATAACAGATTCAAAACTAATAAGTCTGTGATAACCACAGTAGAGCAAGGGAATAAAAAAGTGTATTAGCTTACTGTTACTGTGACAAAATACCTGAAATACCCAAGTTATAAGGAGGAAATGTTTATTTTGGCTCCTGGTTTTGGAAGTTTTGGTTCATGGTCCGTTGAATCCGTTGCTTTTGTGCCTGTGGTGAGGAGCACATTGGGGTGGCACAGTGAAGGAAGATGCTTACCTGATGGAGGCCAGGAAACAGGGAGGTAAGAAGGGGCTAGGATCCCAATAACCCTTCCAAGGCCATGCTTCCAATAACCTACTTACTTTGCTTCCACTAGGTCCCAAAGGTTCCACCACCTCCCAAGATGGCTACAGACTTTGAAGGGACAAAGTCTTCAATACATGGGCCTTTGGAGAACATTCCAGATTCAAACTATAGCATTCCACCCTAGCCCCAAAGACTTATTTCCACCTCACAGTGCAAAATGAATTCCTTCCATCTCTAAGAGTTCTCAAAATCTGAACAGTTCCACCACTGATCAAAAATCCAAGTCCAGGGCTAGGGGCATAGCTCAGTTGGTAGAGTTCCTGCCTCTCATGCACAAGGACCTGGGTTTAATCCCCAGCACCACCAAAACAAAAACAAAAAAAAATCCAAGTCCAAAGTCTCCTCTGAGACTCAAGACAATCTCTAAGCTGTGAGCCCCCGTAAGAATCAAAAGAACATATAGTTCTAGGGTACAATGGGACAGAGTAAATATTCCATTCCAATAGGGAGGAATAGGGGCACACAAAGGGAGGACTGGAACACACCAAGACTGAAACCCAGCATGGCAAACATTAAATCCCATAGCTTCATATCTACCAGGACAGTTGGTGTGATGTGAGGTCCAAAGTGCTTGGACAGCACCACCCCTACAGCCTTACTGGCTGCAACCCACATGACCACTCTCTTAGGCTCTCTTTCCTGACAGCAGCTTCTCCTGACAGGTATTCCATGTACCTGGCATTTATAACTTCCTGGGATCTCCATCACGATTTCAGCTTCATTCTTAAGCTTCCTGTATCTCCCTGTTAAGAGCTCCCTGCAGGGACTCTGACCCTGCCACACACTGCCCAGCCTCAGAGGCTTTCCTCTGAAATCTTGGTAGAAGGCTCAATGACCCAGAAACTCTTGCATTCTGCATACCTACAAAACCGGCATCATGAGGACAATGACAGCCACTGGTCTAAACCACTGCTAAAGTGTCCTGAGTGCCTTTATGGCTAAACACAAGAAACAAATCCCAGGGAGATAATTCCCTAGGTAGCTCTGTGTAAGCAGAGTGCCCCCAGGACTCTCTCCTCAAAACAAAAAACTAATCAATTCCTGAGATGCCCTGAAGGAATCTTTCTTATTGTCCAAGTGCAAAGTACTTGACTTCTTTTTAATTATGCTGATCTCTTTAGTATCCTCCTTGTCACCCCCAGAAATGAGCTTCTTTTCTGGCCAAATTGCAGGTTTTTCTAATTTTTCCACACTGCTCCTCTTTGCTCCTGATTCTCACTGTGAATTTGGCTAAATCAGCCAGTAATACCTGCGCTGCTAACTGAATACTATGTTGCTTTGAAATTTCCTCCTCCAGATAAACTAGTCTGTCACCTTTAAATTCAGCCTTACACAAAGTCTCAGGGAACAGACAAAATATAACTTGCCAGACTTTTAATCCAGATGGCTGCTGGTCAAATTCCTAATAGTGTCCTTACATATATCTGAAGCTTCATCAGCAGTCTTACTGTCTGCATTCTTGTCAGCATTCTAGCCTTCTGAGCCATCACCAGAATCACTCATTAAATTCCATTTACAGCATTTTAGGCTTTCTATCATCTGCTTCTCTAAACTTTTCTAAATTTCTCTGCAAACAAATTCTAAAGGCTTCTGAATCAAATCAGTATAGTCATAGCAATGATCCCACTTCTTGGTACCAATTTTCTGTGTTAGATTATTATTGTAACAAATAACTGAGATAATCAAGTTATAAGGTGGAAATGTTCATTTTGGCTCAGCTTTGGAGGTTTCAGTTCACATCAGTTGGCTTTGTTGCTTTGGGGCCTGTGGTGAAGCAGCACATCGTGGTGGAAGCAAATGGTGAAAGAAAATACTCACTTCATGTCAGCCAGGAAGCAAAGAAGGCAGGAAGGGACCAGGATCCCAGTATCTCCTCCAAGGGCATGCCCCCAGTGACCTAGCTTATTCCTACTAGTTCTACCACTTAAAGGTTCCACTGCCTCCCAGTAACACCACAAGCTCAGACCAAGCTCCAACACATGGTCTTTGGGGGACATCCAAATCCAAACCAAGGCAGCCAGTTAGAAAGTGTTCACTGATGAATTAAAGAAGAAACCAGCTTTTATTTTATTCAATTAACAAACTTATTTATTTTGTGATGTTAGGGATGGCCTCATGCACACCAAGCAAGTGCTTTATCACTGAGCTATGCTCCCAGTCCAGAGCAAGCTTTTTAATAACTTTTCATGATGGTATCCATTCACAAACTCCAAGTTTTAGGACCTTAAAAACATTATCATAATAAAACAAGGTTTGAGTTGCTAGAAGAGAAGGTACCATAGCAATCTGCAAAGGTGCTGTGAAAGAACAGCTTAAAAAGAATATGCAATTCTCACTGACTACAGATAAGTCCAAGTGCTGATGTTTGTATCAACCACTGGCAAGTCATTGGCAAAAAAAAAAAAAAAAAGTGTCTTTATTTATTTTTTTAGCCTATCATGGAACTTATAACCTAATATGGAAAAATGTTTGAGGGGGTTGGCTAGAAAAAGTATGGACCACAGCACTCACCAAATAAGAAAGCCAACAATCACTAAACCACATACAGTATTTATTTAAATGACATTAATTACGGTCTTTCCTCGTGCATGTCCTCTTTCCACCTTTAGGAAAGCTTCCGGAACTTGAGAAAAAGGAAAGGTTTGTTCAATAACTGGTCGAATCTGTAAAATACAAGAAGAGACTGACTGATCAGAACACTGAAATCTTTCCAGGCAGGGGACATCTTTAATTAGTTTCTTCACAATATCCCTCAAGGCTGGTCTTTCTCAGGTCTCTCTCCATTTTGTCAAAGTGAAGCGCTCATGCCCAGCCATATGTGCTGCCTCCACCCTTGCCTCATTGCCTCTCTTTTCTCTGAAGTGACCCAGCTCCACCTTGCTCCATCTGACTTCTGCTCTATGCTGTCATGTCGCTTTTCTACTCAGGACCCTGCAACAGCCCCCAAGACAGGTATTCAAAGACCACTACTCCGGACCTCAGCCCCATGCAGATGCCATGCTTCACCAAAATGGATTCCTTGCCATTTTCTGAACACAGCTCGGATCCCACACTCCATTTCCTCATCCCCTAGCCTGCAGTGTGTTCTCCCTTTGAACTGCTTCCAGGGACCAGGGGGCCCTTCTCAGAGCTATACTTGTCATAGCCAAGAACACATCTAGGCCACACTGTAAGGGAAATACCAAAGGAGCCTGATGCCCCAAGCTCCTTGCTCTATCTATTCCCTGGGTCCCCTTACAGATAGTGCAGACTAAGTAGAGGGTTTTTTTTTTTTTTTAAACTGTTAATGTTTGACTGTCCACTCAACCAGAGTGTAAAGCACTTATGGTATAAACCACCTCTTCTGCATTTCTCCCCAACACCTAGCATCATGCTAGGCATATAGTAGGAGCTTAATAAATATTACTTAGGTGAAAACCGAAATGTGGGAAGCAGAAGTCTTATGTGAGTTCTCTGAGCTTCGAGAGAAACTGTCCCAGGTTATAGTTGCCCTGGGAAGCTCTGCTAAACAGTGGCACAGTTGGTTAGAATTTACAGGAAAGCCATTGCAACCAGCTCACTGATGGTTAGAGTGTTGCTGGTTCTCTTCAACATACCATTACTACTGCCAGCAACCTCCTTCTGAAAGTAGGTTCCAAGTAACACCCTCTTCCCATACAAAAATGAAATTATACTCTTCCTTTTCAAAACTTTAAGCAGAAGTATCCACTGCATACTTCACTGGCCTTCCTCCCATAACTCCAGCGGCAGGAATAAGCTGTCAGAGGCACAAGTCAACTCATACAACTGACAACCATTTTATTTTTACAAGAGAAGACGTGTTCTTGTGACATTCAAATGCAACCAGTGCAATCCCCCCTGGTATGACTCGTAGAACCCAGATACCCCAAAATCATCTCAAACTCCAAATATTCTCCAAA